CCCCCCCCCCCCCCCCCGCCCAATCTCGCCTGCTGTTTCAGGTAAGATTTTATGTAAGATATATATATATATCTACGTTTATATATGCTTTTAATGGCTTTAAGTTGATGTTAATGAATTGTAGATTGTGACTTTGAAAAACTAATTAAATGTATATTTTGGATTTATTTTAGTGTAGACGAGGAGTTATATCCGTATGTATAAAGAGAAAGAGGAGAGAGAAATTGATTGGTTGTGAATAAATTAGGGAGATTAAATGAAAATTAATAAGAAGCTAATTAATTAGAGAAATTTTAATTAGTGAGAAATTAATTAAGATAGATTAATTAGTGTATTCAGTGGCTATTTATGACAAATCAATTAGTGGATTTCATATAACACAATCTGAATTACATGTTGGTGGAAATTAATTTAAGGAGAAAACTAGATTTCTTAATGAGATGTAATAATGATGTGTGGTAAGGAATAGGATTGATTGATAAACTTTGTAACGATTATAAATTAATTAGGGGAAAATATTCTAATATGGTGACATATATACGTGTATATATATTCTTAATTATATTTTTTCTTAAATTATTTGTAGATAATGGGATTTATTAAATATTTTATTATAAATACAAATTCTTTCCTACGTAAAAATTTATGTGCGTGAGGACCACCATGAATAGAAATCGAAAAGCTCTCAGACACGGTGGCCCACTATTTTTGTGTCGCATTGTTCCAAGTATGAACAAGGAACTTACTCTTTCAGGTAAGAAATTTTGTGAACACATCTATTTCATCAATGATTATTGAGAATCATTTAACAAGATGTTTATCGCTGCATGTAAGTTTTTGCATATCATTGTATAATGGACATAGATTTATATGTAAATATAGAAGAACATTCTCATCGATATAAAACATTGTTATGGTGAAACTTTAGTAAAGAACGATTGGACGAAAAATTAACAGTATGTAAATAAATAAATAAATAAATACAAGAGAATGAACTTTGACTACTCTAAGTGATTTGGACTTAAAAACATAAAATAGTTGATTTTAAGTGTCGAGTAAGAAGTTCATACTCCAAGTATAATCGAGATACTAATTACTCCAATTACTCAGTGAGATATTATGCACTGATGAAAGAGTTTTTAAAATGTTGTCATTAAGTACAATTTTAATTTAAGAAAGATGAAAAAGAAAAGAGTTGAAGTTGTGTATAGTCTCACATATTTATGTACACAAGTATTGGACAAGTGATTCAAAATGAAAACCTATATATCTGAATATAAATGTTTTAAAAATAAAAATATAAAAATCATCTCGGCTGTAGCGCCCGGAAAATTGAAGAAGAAGAAAAAAAAAAAAAAGGGCCACGTCAGCAGACCCAGTCAGCAGTCCCGGCCAACCAGGACCTGCCACGTGGCAAAACCACGTCGACCGGGGACGGGCCACGTTGGCGATCCGCGTACGCGCGATCGGACGGCCCAGATTCAATCAAAAACGGACGGCTCAGATTAAATCAAAATGGACGGCTGAGATCAAAAGGCAAAATGGTATAAATAAGACCCCCACACCAGACCACAAAACCCTAGCCGCCTGCCCTCGCCGGAGAAGACGAACCAGAAGCCGGAAACAAGGCCGAAACCCAGCGGCGCCGCCGCGCCCCTCCTCGATTTTTGCCTTCGATGAGGCCCTTCCCGGCCTCCGTTTAATGCAATTTTTATATCACCGTAATCACCATTCTTTTCTCTACAGGTTGATCGGAGCCGAATCACCAAAACATGAACTTCACCGGAGAGCCGTCGTACCCGAGAGCACCGCCGCCGGTAAGCTTCGGTTTTTCGTAATTTTTTGGCCCCCCGAGGGCCCTAGAGTTGTTTAATCGCAAGGATCGATGCAAGTGTGGTCGAATTAGGCCAAACCGAGGTGAATCGCCGCCGCTTGCGGCGGCGCCGTCACCGGAACACGGCGAAGCCGCCGTGCCGGAATTGCGATATTGGCCAAAAAGGGGCCCTGGGCCTAATTTGGGATTTTTTGGAACACTTGCAGGTACTAGTAGTGCGTTTCAGTTCCCCGGAAAAAAATTCAGGAAAAATTAGGAACAGCCTGTAGGCGCACTGTGAAGCCGTGTTCGGACCCCGAAACGAGTAAGGACCCCTCACCCTATTTCCTATCACGGTTTTAAAGTTCAATAAATGATAAAACGGTATTTCATGAATCAACGAATGTGTGGAAATTGCTTAAGGTCGCTAATGGAGCCCGAGTCTAGTGTGTTTGTCGGTTAACTGTTATTTGGCCTGTTTTACAGTTTTAAATGCAGTATGAGGTTTGATGTTTTCATTTTATAGTTTCGTGTGCATATTTTACTGTTTTACTGATTATGGATCGAATGACTAGGATGTTGATGCTGTATGTTGTCTGTTTGGCATAAATTACCGTTTTGCTTGTTTGTATGTAGATTGATGATGCTGACTGAGGAAAAAGAGAATGAAAGATTATGTAAATGGGTAATTGTATAACGTGGTCAACCTGACTAGATATCCTGGGAGATGGTGGACGGACCGGGTCCGTAGGGAACCCTACCGGGATTGTGGTCTCCCATACCGGACGGGGTATGGAGATCTTATGTGTTTTGGCGCCCATACCGGACGGGGTATGAGGACGGCCCGTTTCACCCTCATACCGGACGGGGTATGGGGACGGCCCTGGAATATGATTTCAAGTGTTAAGGGTTAACGGGTAGCGGGACCCCTATGGATCCCCATGGATACTAGTGGGCTGGTAAAAGAGGAAAAATATGTTGTGTAACGATTGAATTACAAAAGGCTTGATAAGTATTATGTTATACAGTTCATATATGATTTCATGATGATGATAATGTTATTGCTTTCGTATACTGTTTTATGGATTTCACTGAGGTAAGTGGATGGTGAAGGATTTATTATTGATAAAAGAATTTGTTGTAAATTATGCTCCATTGGTCTTTTTGTGTTTTTTACCCACCTTTACCTCCGTGACGGTGAGATATCATGATGTCTTTACTGGGCTAGTGTAGCTCATTCCTTATTTAATCATTTCAGATCAGGAAGACATCGTTCCCGAGCCGGTTCCGCAGGAGGACGACGAAAGGGACGCCTAAAGACTCCATAGTCATATTCGTAGCTTTTACTTTCAAGTTTCTCCTTTAGGTAGTTTGATCTTTTATATTTTGTGAGCACGTTTTTGGTTTTAGTGTAAGGGATGTTAATCGAATTTTTAACTTCGCTTCCGCATTTGATATCTTTAATATACATTTTATTTTAAATTTTCAGGACCGTTACAGTTGGTATCAGAGCCGCATTTCCTCGGACCCATCCCTTACACAATAGTGCCTTAGAGTAATACTCACCGATATATCGTTACTCAATCATTCCTTATGAATGCAAGTACACGGGAATGAGGAGAGGAAGGCCCCCACTAAACCGAGCGGCCCAAGATAATTCGCTTCGGGAGGATTTAGACAGACTATTTGAGATGGTGGAGGCTCTCGTAGCTGCCCAGCAAAGGCAAGAGGAGAGAAGGGAGTTACCCGGACCTCCTCCGCTAGCGCAGGTTGAGCCCCCGCTACAGCAGGCTGATCCCGAGCCACCCCGGCAGGAGCCTGTTCCTCCACAGTACCACCCGGCATCACAGCCGCGGTACGACCCGGTACCACAGCCAAGGTACCAGCAGGCGCCGCCACAGCACATTCCAGTACCCCCACCACATCAGCAGGTGCCACCACAGGGTCCCCCAGTTCACCCTCAGCCGGCCCCAGTCCCTCTACCTCGAGACCCCGCTCCTTCCTTGATCGACCCCGGCTTCATAGAGAGGTACAGAAGACTGAACCCTTCTACTTTTGCAGGGGGATCCTCTTTTGAAAAGGCCCAATACTGGCTGGCAGAGACTGAGAGAGCTTTCGAGACCTTGGGATTAGTTCCTGAGCAGAGGGCTGCCATTGCCTCCTACATGCTGGTAGGGGAAGCAGTACGCTGGTGGGAGCTCAAGTGGGCCACCCTGCCTACACCAGCTACTTGGGAGCAGTTCCTAGCGGTCTTCCATGCGGAGTATCTCCCTAAACACATCCAACACCTAAAGGAAATGGAGTTTGCTCAA